TCTCTGCACAATATTTGAATTTTGTTGCTAATTTTTCTGATTCTCATTAACCTGTGTCTTATAATCAAACTAGAACAAACTTAAAATGGGTAAAGGCCATGAATAAGGAATTGCAGGCCTTGGAAGATAATGATACTTGGTAGCTAACTAGATTATCAGATGGAAAGAGAGCTATTGGTTCAAAATGGGTATACAAAATTAAAAGACATGCAGATGGAAGTATTGATAGATATAAAGCACGACTTGTGGCAAAGGGTTACACTCAAGTTGAAGGTGAAGATTTCAGTGAAGTTTTCTCTCCTGTTGCTAAAGTTGTAGCAATGAGATTATTGTTTGCTATTGCTGCTGCAAAGGGATGGCCTGTTCATTAGTTAGATGTTAACAATGCCTTTCTACATGGTACTCTTGAAGAAGATGTCTATATGCAGCCTCCTTTAGGGTATACTAAAGCCACGAAAGATCAAGTCTGTAAACTGAAGAAGTCACTATATGGGCTCAAGCAGGCTTCAAGGCAATTGAATTTGGATTTCACTAGTAAGTTGACTGATTATGGCTTCCAACAATCTTACCATGATCCCTGTCTGTTTGTTTTTCATCAATCAGGCTTCAAGTTGTTTCGACTTGTTTATGTGGATGATGTCATCCTCGCTGGTACTAAGGAAGATGAAATTGCAAAGTTCAAAGATTTTTTGGATACAGCCTTCACAATTAAAGACTCGGGATTGGCCAAGTATTTCTTGGGTTTGGAAATACATTAGTCAAAAGGATCTACATTAGTCAAAGGAAACACATAACAAATCTACTTAAGGATGCTCATCTTCTGGATTGTGTTCCTACTGCAACACCTTTTCCTCCTTCCTTGCAGTTTCCTTCTGAAGATAAAGATGATACTCCACTTCTTGCTGATCATGCTCAGTACCGACGTTTAGTTGGCATTCTTCTTTACTTAAACTATACTAGACTAGATATCACACATGTTGTGCAACAATTAAGCCAGTTTGTTCATCGCCCTCATGAATCACATTGGGGAACAGCTATCCATTTACTCAAATATCTCTCTGGCACAGTCAGTAAAGGTTTATTCTATTCCAGCAGTGCTGCTTTGTCCTTAACAACAGACAGTGATGCAGATTGGGGTTCTTGTTGAACTTCTAGACATTCTCTTACCGGGTACTGTATCTTCCTTGGTAGTAGACTTGTTTCTCGGAACAAAGAAGCAAAGTACTATTCATGCTCCTCAGCAGATGTTGAGTATAGAGCAATGGCTACAACAATTCGAGAACTCCAATGGATATCTTATATCTTGCAAGATTTTCATCTTCCAGTTTCTCTGCCATGCCCTTCTGGTGTGATAGTCAAGTTGCCTTAAACATCACATAAAATGCCGTCTTTCATGAACGAACAAAGCACATTGAGATCAACTGCCATGTTGTTTGTGATCAATTTAAGAAGGGTTTCATCTTGCCATCACATGTTTCCACCAAATTGCAGCTGACTAATCTTTTTACTAAGGCATTACCTTCATCAACTTTTTTGTTCTTACTTTCCAAGAGGAGCTTATGGAGTGCTCATCTTGACGAGGGGGTGATAAAATATAGGAGAACAGATCAGCCATTTGATCATGATCCTCAATAGAAGTTTCCAATTTAGGCAGACTTGTGCAACATTCCTTAGCAAGAAAAGATTTGAATACTTCGAGTAGCAGCAGCCGTCCGATCCACCGCCAATAAGATGAATGATTATGATTGGTTCTTGCAGATAAGTCGGTTAGCAGCAGTTAAGCTAGTTGGCACCTTCTAGATTAGCATATTTGTATATATAGAGGAAATTAGAGTCTGTAAATCATTAGAGAAAATAATAATCAAAGCATATTCAATCAGAAACTTCTTTTCTCCCGTTTTGGGGCTAAATATTGACTTCTTCTGTTTTTGAGTTCTTGATCTTCTTTCATGTGTACTGTTGAGAAATTCGTGAAGTTCACAAAAGAAGTCCAGAAATGGCCGTACAATTTTCTAATGTCACCCGATTTTCCTCCTGCTAAACAAAGGGCCACAGTTAGTGGTATTCTGCAAACTAACGACAGTTACTATTTCACGAATACCTTTTCTTTTCCTTTAGCCAAACACAAAAGTTTGATACAATTCTACCAACTTAGGAAGTACCACAAAATAAGTTTTCGTAAATTTAGACGTTGGGACTAAATTCTTTGTTCCCTTCCGAAAACAGGTTCTTACAAAATGGGAGTTTCCCAGCTAAATTTGCTTACGTGGGATTAGCTGCGCCAGGAGTTCCGGGATCATGGTAAATAGAAGCTAAGGTAATGTACCAAAATTTCAAAAAGATAATCTGTTTATTGATTTATCAAACAATAACTTATAACAAGCAATAATATTATCGATTTTGAATATTATGAATTTTCTACGATGGATTTGTGGAACGACAAACAAAACAAAGTACATAAAGGGGTTTCCTGAACATGCATTCGATTACACCATATGTGTATAAGCGGAATATTAAGAGTGACGATCATAGTCACGAGAAACAAATATAATTTTGATTATGCTTGATGAAACTTGAATTTTTCGAACTTGACAGGGATATCAATTTTGGACACAAACTGATAGTTTGGGCTGGTTCACCATTAAAGGTGTTCGAGCAGGTACCTACAATTTATATGCTTGCATTCCCGACATTTTTTGTGACTACATGTACAATACAAATGCCGTTGTTGCACCAGATAAAATTATACAATTACCTCACTAGGATTTTTTTTTTCCCTTTCAATGTTGATTATGATATGAATTTAAGAATTTGAAATTTTAAAATGAGAAAAAATATGCATAGTCATTTGTATGCTTATCTTTTGCTTCAGGAGATGTTATTAAGTTGGGAGCTCTTGTATTCAATTCTCCAAGAAACGGTCCTAAAGTTTGGGAAATTGGGATTCTTGATCATTCTGCTACCGAGTTCTTTGTTCATGATCCACTTCCAGGACTTTTAAACCCTTTATTCACCAATCTTCCAACTGAGAGGTCTGCTTTCAATTTCAATCCAACTAATTATTACTCTATAACTATGTTTCCTTTTCTTTCTTTCTTTATATTTTTGGGTTTCTTTATATGAATTTTGTTGTAACCAAATGAACTTTATATGAATATCAGATATAGGCAATATGGTTTGTGGGATCGTTACACGGATCCCTATCCTAATCAAGACTTGGTTTATCACAATGGAATTGGTAATTATCGAAATGATTGGTTTCCTGCTCATGTTAACAGGTACTGATTTACCTTCCTAGTTTTATTTCTGTCACTTGATCATTTATTTTTTATTGAACTGCTAGAATTTTATACTATAGTGTCCAGAAATTAATCAATTGTCATAAATGACCAAATGTGTAGGAGAAAAACCATTGGGACAACCACAGCATACGTTCCTACCAATTGGCAAATTTCATTTGATCTGAAAGAGGTAATTCCAACTGCCACTTACACTTTGCGGTTAGCCCTTGCGTCTGCGTTATATGCCAATATTCAGGTGAACAATTAATTATTCAATAAGTAGTGTTTTCTTACAATATGTCAAGATTAAAAAAAAAACCACCAATCGTAATAATTTATTAACTCGTGCTAATTGGTCGGGTCGAAATTGTAAATATATAAGTTAGGATCAACGATCCATTAACACCTTTGCCTGACTTCTCAACAGGCATTATTGGTGAGGATCATATTTCAGTGGGAGGGAGCGTGCGGGATCATCTTGTAAATATTTCGCCAATGCAAGATGGTTCGCTCGCTTTTGCATAGAATTTTTCCCCAAACGACCCGCCTCATTTGCATGCTGTAGAAGGTCAAAGTATTCAAACTTGCTCTTTTTTTTACCTTTACAAAAGGACAAGTAAATTTGTTTTCACAGAATCGAACTTCATGACTTCTATTTCTCAAAGAATTATACATACTATTCGTCCATTCATCTAGCTTTGACTCACTGAAATCACTACCATATTCGGAGCTGGAGTGCGATCTTTTTGACATCTAAATAGAAAAAATTTGTTTAGGTACTCAAACCCACCCCCTCCTCCCCCGCCCCCAAAAAAAAACAAGGTCTTACAAAAACATGAAGGTCCCTTTCTCCCTTTTAAAAATTGCCTGATCTATATGAAAAAACACATGATGGTCCCTTTCTCGTTGACTATTTGGCGGACAGTGACATTTGGTCCAAAATCTAATGAGGTGGTTTTAGGTTTCATCTACATTCCTGACAGTACAATACAATCTATAATCCTGACCTTCCTCATATTTGGCAATAAACTACACTTCACATAACTAATAATAATAAGACATCTACGGTTAAAAAAATAGTTTGTTTTACTAAACTAATGAATCACAAGACTAATAAACATTAAAAAATTAATATGAACCTAGCAACTGCTAAGTATGGCACTATAAATATAGATCTTTTCATTCCATCAAAAAATGCAACACCAGATCTCCTACTTCTCTTAAATTGACAAACATTTTTAAAATCCTAAACACTAACGTGGCCCATAATTAATGGAATATTCGAATGCATAGTAATTATCGAGACCACATCATCTTACTACAACAGGCACCACTTTGGCTATATGACCTCTCATTTGGAATGAATTATTTGCTTGCTCATATTTGTAGGTTTAAATCCCACCGTCATTTTGTTTCCCTTCTTGAAACAAAAAGAAAACCCCCTCCATCCAAACAACATCTCCAGTCACATTTTAAATCACACGTCAAACAAATAGCTAGTAACTGGTTGTCATTCTAACTAAATAAAAAATTTAAATACTGCCTAGAAGTAAGAAATATTCAGTATAATCATACAAACCATATTGCAAGATGCGGCTGAATAAAGCAAAACCAATTTTCAAATTACAGTCATCATGTGCGAAATAGTACAATTATCCCATGCATATTGCTACAAGCTGCTGAAGAAAGCAAAAGCAATGTTCCAATGTCTCTTCCACTTTAGAGTTTGGCCATTTGGAATACATCGACCTTACTATTTGGCATATCAGGTGCTATGTCAACAGTTAACTGCACAGGTTGGTTCTCTTGGATCAGGTTGCCTTCAAACAACTTCTTCCAGTTCCCGGATAATTTCTTATGAACTGTAGAACCACGGTTATCCGATGTAGTTGTTATCCAGAAATCTGTTGCTTCCACCGGACCTTCAACCCTGGCAGCTTCTTTTGCCTCGAGTGCATGGCGTCGCACAAATTTGACAGGAATGTTCTGCAGAAATTGCATCACAACTCACAGCTATGATCGTTACATAAACAAAAACAAAAAAGAAGACTCACCATTCGATATCTGGCCTTGCGTGACCAACCAACACCCAGTTTGAAGCTATTGTCAGGGTTGTTCTCCAAGTTTTGCCCCAAATTCTCTCCCCTTGGCCTGATGTCATCTGCTTCTCTATCACCGTCGCATCCCTACAAAATGAACGGAGAATCAGATTAGTGCAGGATTACACCAATCCCTTGAAAAAATGCTAACTTCCAAACCCTACAAAACAACAAAATCAAAAGCATGGGACTGGTCATTTCGTGCCTGATCGTCCTCCTCTTGACCAATATCAATTGGAGAAGTTGTCGAGCTTCCTGGGTCCCCCACAGGATTTTGTGCCCACAAGAACCTTCTTCTAAGTCTGTGGCTAAATCACCTCGGACTGGGGAAAAGTAGGACCTAGATTCTCTTCACTGACCTTGCTGCATCGGCCCTTTTTCTTTCGAGTAGGGGGCCGCTTCGACACCTACAACAAGATGAATTACAAATCCCGCTTATAATTGTTCAACCATTACCAAGAAAATGAACATGGTCAACCGTAAATGATACACCAAGCATACCGTTTCCATTGCGGGTGATGCATTGTTGGGGTCTTCATAGCGTTGTGACGCTACCTTCGGTACAATGACGGAGGTTCCTGCGTCCTCAGGTTGACCATTATTTTCTGAGAAAACAACCAATTTTTTAGTTTTTGTTTATCTATTAATTTTTTTAACAATTGATGACAATCACATTACATGTGCTTCTGCACAATCATGTACGAGGTGTCCAGAACAATCGCAAAATGAATATTTCAGGCTTAAGCGAGTACACTTTTCCCATTCTCCATGTTTAAATGCCCCATAACAGTATTCACAAATCCATCCGGATGCCGAACACTACCCTATAAAAGAATATTGTTCGTAATCATCAGGAACTAAGTTGAGTGTCTCTACCGTTGGCTCATCAGGTACAATAATGACCTTTGATGATTCCTCAATATGATCTTTCCATTCATCTTTGTCTAAATTCCCCGAGCAGTCTACACGTGGTTTAAGACCACTGTCTGCTGCATGACTATACTCTTTGTGAGAAGTTTCTTTCTCTAACCAACGTGGCAACTCTTCTTGAGGGCATTGAGCTGTCCGATGATAGGGCATTTGACAATATTCACATGGCAAAGCTTTTGCTTTTGCAACAACATTTTGAGCTTCTCCATCCACCGCAGTGGTCACTAGAACATCTTCACCTTCATATTTATCAAGAATATGAAAATTTCCTTTCTGCCTAGTTCTGGACACCCGGATAATAGGAAAATCTTCGTCATCATATTCAACAAGAATTTGTATTTCTTTCTGCTTAGTACTAGACAATGGGATAGCAGGATTGTTTTCATCTTCATCACGAAGCTTAAATTTTCCTTTCCCCTTACTTCCAGACACCAGGACAACGGGATCATTTTCATCTCCATCAAGAAGATGATTTTTCCCTTTCCGCTTAGTTCTGGACACCGAGATAGCAGGATCTTTTCCATCTCCATCACAGAGCTGATTTTTTCCTTTCCGCTTAGTTGTGGACATCAGAATACCAGGATAATTTTCATCTTCATCACGAAGCTGAAATTTTCCTTTCCCCTTAGTTCTGGACACCAGGATCGCGGGATCATTTTCATCTCCATCAAGAAGCTGATTTTTTTCTTTCCTCTTAGTTTTGGAAACCGAGATACCAGTATCATTTTCATCTTTATCACGAAGCTGGAAATTTCCTTTATGATTCTTATTCCACTTCTACTTAGCACCCTTTTGAATTTGTTGCTAACCCTTACCCTAATCCTCTAATGATGGGGGACAAGACATCACAAGTTGGTTTAAAAGTATAAAACAACAACAACAAAGTTCACAAACAAGAATGTGAATAAAGATATTCTTCTATGCAATCACAATGCACTAAAGGTTTATCCATAACAATCAGAGTATTAAATCTGTAGAATATGCAAGTTTTGTATTACATCAAGTTAAAGTTAAACCGAAATACGGAGGTTTAATTTTAGTACCATTTTGCCAGGAGCTTAACCTATACGAAAGGTTACCTTGTCTTGCTTGACTACTACCTTCCTCTTTTGTAATCTTCTTTCTAGTGTTGGGCAAGACTTTGGTTTGTGCCCCCTGCGTTTGCAATATTCAAATTGACAGTTCGGGAGTGCTTTCCTGCCTCTTCCCTTTCACTTAACCGTCTATCAATTATCAAGCCATTCAAACCGACACAATCAAGAACTCATAACCTTTGAAGAATATATACAAGTACAAAAGCTTACATCATCAGCCAAATGTTCAACTGCAACCCGTTTTTGCGGTCTGCCCCACTGTTTGGGCGCTGCTCGCCTCTGCCCAACTAAGGCCTCTCACTCTCCTTCCATGATTCTGCGTAACAATTCTAAACGTTAAATTATTATTACAAATAATGGTACATAAACTCACAACACAGGTTAAATTAGGGAACCAAGTTTGGTAAAAAAAAAAAAAGAACAATTTCCACATGATAATTAGCTGTTTCAAATATGGGCAGCTTTTCCTACTATGCCCCTTAACATGACAACTACCACACTTATTGCATCCCGGGCCGACCTTTCTAATGGCCTTATACCAACCTTTTTGGCTTTTGCATACTCGATGGGGTTCATCATGTTGCTTGTTCCTTCTGCCCTTCATTCTTCTTGGCATGGGTCTAAACTCTGGAGGCAACATGGGTGGGTCTGATATTCGCTTCCAAAAATTAGAACCATTCATCCCCCAGATACTATTTGCATATGCTCTCAGGTACATCTCCTTTGAGTACCATCTGTCAACATAATCTTCCACCCTTCTCCTGTCATCAAGAATGCACCTTAATGCATATTGGCATGGAATACCAGACAAATCCCACTTCTAGCAAGCACAACTCAGATCTCCGGGTCTAAGGCACACAACAACCTGTTCATTTACCCCCCTCACCTCATACTTACCATCACCATAATAGTCTACAACATAAGAATTAGATTCTTCCCGGGATTCCGGTCAACGGGCCCTGATTTTGTTGCCAAATTCAAAGGGTGACTTTTCAAGTCACTCCCTAGTCTTGCGGTATTTAACCATCAAGTATCGCCTCAACCACTCCAACCCAAGGATTGCTAGTTTGCAGGCTTTTACTAAAACACTGTTGAAGCCTTCACATATGTTGTTCACCAACATGGCACGCTTTGTCTCAGTCAAGAAATGTGACATGCACCAGTGACTTGCTCCTATTTCATGAAGATACCTCCATGCTCCTTCATGATTCTTCTTCAAATCATCCATCAGCTTGTTCCATTCCACTTCAGTTGTTGCTTTTGCAATCCTCGTCAACCTGGGTTTCAATTCTAATCCGGGGTGCTTTAGCTTGAAATTATTCCATAAGTGCTCCACACAGTATCTATGGGACACACTTTTCAAAAGTGTAGCAATAGTTGGAAGAAGACCCTGAAAAAAATAATTCATGTCAAAGCCTTAACATCCACATAAAATTTCAGTATCATGAATACAATTGCTTTACACTCATTTACATTCTCAATGAACATACCTGTTATTAAACACAAATTTAAAATTTATTCTTGTACCTTTTGCCGTTGTAATATGATGACCCATTTATGCGTATCAGTTATTCCCAAGTCATCAATGAGGTATTCCAAAATCCACTTCCATGAATCTTCATTCTCTATCTCAACAATAGGAAATTCAACAGGATATATCTGGTTATTAGCATCGTATCCCATAGCCGCAAGGAGCTGGCCCCAAGCTGGAGTCTTCAAGAAGGTCCCATCTACACCAATCAGTTTCCTACATCCTTCTTTGAAACCCTTTTTAGAGGCTTCTAAACACATGTACAGTCTCTGGAACCTATGGGATCGTCTTTCCTAGTCATAAGCTTAATTGTGCTACCTAGATTTGTCTTTTCTACTTCAGCCAAATACGATTCCAAAAATGCATAATTCTCCAAAATAGTACCTTCGTTTATTTGAGGTGCCTTTCTCTTAGCTCTCCACTCCTGGGTTCTTGAGATCTTCAATCGATGATCCTTCTTAACCCTATATTTAATGTAGCCATCACTGAGGGTAGGCTCCATTGCCAAATCTTCAAGGTACCACTCGGCAACCAAATGGGCAGTACAGTTCCTTGTTTTATCTAGTGTTGGACAAGTGTGTTTGTCTTGGTGAGTTCAAATCTGAAACATCGGTTCATTTGAACACACCCTAACTGCATATAGTACCCAGCTGCATCCCTTCCCTTTGCAAATTGCCCTAACATAGTTGGAGTCATGCTTTTTGAAGCTTATATGTCGCCTATAAGCAACTAAATGGAGCTTGATATATCTAATAAGTTGTCACTTATCCCCAAAGTCATGCGATACCTCAAACCCTAAATATCTCATATCATCCTCAGGTACATACTTTTTTCCCTTCTTTAAATTCTTTTCACCTGTAGTTAGATCCTGTGCAAATAATTCCTCTGTTATATTTCTGGACCTTAATGATTCAAATGAGCCACAATCAGCCTCATGATCTTAACCTTTCACCTTATCCAATTTTGGGTCTTTGTCAAACAAACACCACAATTCAACACGAACCGTTGCATCAGCTTTTTCCCGGCATTTAATATCCATGTCGTCTGCGTCATAATCATTGTCTTCGACACGATCTCGATTGACATAATCATAATCCCCTTCATCCCCAATTTTCTAACCTCCACCATAATCGGATTCAGAATCACCAGAATCAGACTCAAAGGTAGAAGCACCATCGGAATTACCTGAATATTCACTGCATCATCACCAGCATCCTGATGCCCACTATCATACACATCATCTCCGCTATCATCAGTACAATCATCATGTTCCTTGATGACGTTTGAACACTAGCCAATTAAAGGATCCATGTCTCCTGGGCCAATCCTGCATACATCTTTCCTCCGCAATTTCTAAACAGTACTATCCCCCAACATTGCCTTAATATCCTCACATCCATGCAAATGCTTAAATACAGAATGTTCAACCCTGTTTCTATCCTTGTAAATCAATCTGTGTGGTCCGTTGCTACACACCCTATCAAAATATGACTTCAGAGACTCCACGGTAATATTGGATTCATCTATGAAGTCAAAATAATTAACTCTGCCACCAACAAATTCCAGCTCTACCGTCATCTAAAAACTTCTCCCATGGTGGATTTTGGCAGTTATTTGCTTTGCCTCATCACCTATTAATCAACGATACTACATTTAGTTCATCGAAATCCAACATACACAGTAACTATAAATTAGGTTTACAGCCTTTCATAATGCAACTAAATCAAATAACATAAAAAATACAGATCTATGCATCTATCTACTGAAAGAAGCAAAATTCATTAATTGGTTCGAAGCATATATATCGAAAAGAACTTACCGTAAATTGGGATATATGGTTGTTCAGGGTTTGTATTGCAGACCCATTTAAGATCAATATCCACAACTCGTAACAAACCCTCCATTCTTGAGTCTGAATTCAAATACGAACTGAAAGAATTGATGAATTCCTTCACTTCATCTGGAACTCAAGTTTCTATTGGCAACCCTCGTTTGCCGATATGGTCGAAGTTCTCTCTCTCCTCTTTGAGTCAAAGGCAAGTTTCAACTTTATGACAACCAAGTTGAACAAACTACTACATGTGTGTTTTAATATATTCGTTTGTCTACATGCCCATCCCTCACTTTTCGTTTCGAAAAAATAGGACGTGGCCAATATTAAAGAAAAGACGATTTTATCCCTCCACGTGCATACCACCTTCCGTTACGGTTTCTTCCGACACAAAGACGAAAAGTACCTAAAAAACACTTTCCTTACCAATTGGGGTTGACTCGGAACGTTTTTAACCACAAGGCTTAAAGCAGAAGGACTCGGAAACCTTCGGGGTTTTTCTTGAAATGAGGCCTTTTTTATGTCACTAGTCAAAATGTTTAAGCTCGAAATTTGGTTTTCGCCTGCAACTAGACCATAACCATGGAGCGGGTGTTTACATTCCTCAGACCCTAAACTCTAAACCCTAAACACCAATGGGAGAAAAACATGTTTTGAATTGAAATATTTTTTAAAGTTCTTGTGCTTATTTTTTTTGAAGTTGATGTGGTTATATTTTGATGTCTCGGCGGATATTTTTGAAGTTCTTATAGTTATATTTTGTGGACCCTTGATAAGGTCAATATTAGTGTAATATTTATGGTTATTTATGTATTATTTTGAGTAGTATCTATGCTAATATTTGTCTTTTGTACTTAATTTGATCATAGGTGGTGCTTTGGACCAAAATGATGAAAAGTGTTTCTCATAAGAAGTTGTCTTCACACTCAAATAGGCTACTTTCCCATTACCAATTGGTTTTGAGACGGAACCCCATGAGCTTCTATATGGTATTAGAACCAGCCTGCAAAAAATCAGCATCCAAAGTCTGATGTGATAGAACTGGTGAGGCTAAAACGTGAGATGGTGACTAGGCTGACAAGCTCAACCCAAAGAAGAGGGATTGGGCTTGGGGGGGAGTATTTGGTATCCCACATCAGTAGTGGGGGAGGTTTGATATCAGTATATAAGTCTATGGCTACTCCCCTCATTACTAATTGGTTTTGAGGACTTCTATAAATACAGCAATTGATCAGAATAATCTTATTCACACAGCAACTGATTGTCGTAGTATGTATACAGACATAATACATTTTATTGCACTTCCATATATATAGTATTACAGTTTAATTAACAAATTCCTCTTTATTGCACTTCCATATAGCAACGGAAGGTACTAGCACGAGAGTAAATATAGGCCACCTGATGAAATTGATGTTACTCTCTCTGTCCCGAAAGAAATAGTATGTTTTATTGTACTGTAACAGCACAACAAAATAAACTATCAAATTTTTTCTTTTGGAATAGAGCGAGTCTCGAATATTGATCACATCACGACGCACGGCCGCCACGTTGTCGTCGTGACAACGCTCCAGACCTGTGGCCGCGGCTGCACACACTGAACTACCACCTGCGGTGGTGGCTGGCACGGAACGCACTGAGTCACCGGTTTCTCTTGCGGCTTGCATGGAGTTACCGGTTTCGGTGGTGGCTGGCATGGAACGCACGGAGTCACCGGCTCCGGTTGTGGCTTGCATGGAACGCACGGTGTCACCGGTTTCTCTGGCGGCTTGCATGGAGTCACCGGTTTCTGTGGCGGCTTACACGGAGTCACCGGTGGGCAACATGTACATGGATGCTCTTTTGCAGGTTTGCAATTGCTACAATGCTGCCCTTGTTCATGTTTGCAACTTTGCAGCTCTGTATTGCACTTATAATTCTCTTTTTGAAGTTTCTCTAACTCTTCTTTGTACTTTTTGATCGTAGCCTCACATTCCGACATCTTCTCCTTAACCTAAGTACCAATCGAAAAGAAAAAGGTAATTATTTGGGTCATCCCTTTGGAATTGAAAAAAGGAGCAATATAATGCATGACAGATATTCATTATTCAGAGGGTAGTTTCAAATAGTGTCTTATATATTGAATCCTATAACCGACCAAGCTACAATTACATATTGTAGCGTTTTCTGATATTGATACCTGTGGACACTTTTGAAGAAAATGACTTCTTAAAAGTATAAAAATGTAAGGCTAATTTATAACATATACTGTATTTGTTGTAGCATTGAATGAACTTGTAATGAGCTAGCACATATACATGTATACTTATTGGCCTTGGTTAAAATCTATTTTTCTTTCATTCTGTTTTTTTTTTCTTTCAACTTATTACACCATCAACCTATTTAAATGTTTCGGTTTGATGTCCTAACTATTTTTTTCCGATTAATAATTTTTACTAGCAAGATATTACTCATATATAAATCTATATATGTGGTTTATGGTTAATGATGTGCTGTGCAAATTCAAAAATTTTGGTACAAATATCTATTTTTTATGCTGTTTATATGGGGTTTAAAAACGAAAAGCTACATCATGTAGATACAGGTGTCTAGTGATGGCTCAAAACAGCAAAATAACTTATATATATTGCCGTTGAAGAAATAATAATTTACTTTATGAAACTATAAAGGGGCAAATAAACTATTTTTCAGACTCTTAGAGAGTAAGATTGAAGATATCACGTTGGCACAAAGAAAAAAGAAAAAAGAAACAAAGAAAACCATTTTAATAATATATACCATTTTTTCGAGGCGTTGCTCCAGCTCCTTGTCTTCTGATGGTGTATTAATTTTCTCTTTTGAAGACGTTAAAACCCTTTTAGCAGTTTCCTTCTGCCAATTAGTATATGCCAAGTGAGAGTTAATACTAAATTTATTTCCTTAATACTACTTCCTCCGTCCTGTTAAAATCATTCAATTTCGGAATAAGAAAGTTCAGAATTTGGCTTACGAGATTTTTATATATGTAATAACATTCTGAAAATTGTGATAAATTTTCCAAGTGAAGATCAATTTAGATTTTAAATTGTGATATACTTTTCTAGTTCAATATCTAAAATTTAGATTTTTAAATTGAGCTGTTAAAATGAGACGTAAATTTCAGATGCTAATTACATGTGGAGACCAGACCTTGAATTGTTCATATATCTCATGTGTGTAGGGCTTTCCACCATTTTTCACAAGAATGTTGGCAATCAAATCAAGAAGTTGTTGGCGTTGCTGAGCCTTGGTCTCCTCATCCTTTGCTCTGTTGTTAAAGACTATCTTTCTGTTTCCACAGTCTTCAAGTAGATCCTATTTCATTCATTGAGTAAGGCAACACAATTAGTTTTCTGGACCGATTTTTATTTTGAGACGGATAAAATAAAAGAAAGTATGTTAAAAAATGAATAAAAATTGTTACTATTTACATATGAAATTGGATGGTATGTATAGTCCCACAAAATTGAGTTCACTCACAAAATAATATTAGATTATTTTTATGGGTCGGAAACTGTAATTAAATTACCTGTAAAGCTGGTGGACACGAACGGCCCAAGAACTCATCCAATGTGTCATCTTCTTCAAGTTGATCACCACCAGTAAAAGTGACAATCATATAATCAAGAATTCTGTCTCCAAACAAATGCTTTAAGGTCTCAACAGTTTCAACTTGTTCCTCACTGAACCGACCTTTCAGTGACAGAACCAAAAGAACAGCATGAAGCCCATCTTTAGACATTTGTATGGATCTTACAATCTCTTTCTCAATATCTTCACGGTTACTAGTTCCATCGAACAAGCCTGCATTGAAGCACCCAATCATTGGATAAAAGTATATATCTTTCAAAATAAGTAAGCGATCCCATTAACTTGACTTGAAATCATCCAGTAACAATTGACAAGATATTGTGAGGTTCCGGCGTTACAAAAAAAAAAAAAAGAAAAACAATTGACAAGAAATTATTAAAAACCTCTCTCTGTCTCCAAATTACTGTACAGTTTAAATTTTTATATTTACTAAGTTAAATTTAAACTAAAGCTGAAAATCCCGACTCCTGGACAATAATTTCGGGATGGAGAGAAAGTAAGTAATTCCGATAATTTGACTTAAAATCATCTCCAAAAACAGTTGCATTACCTGGCGTATCAATCACGTTGAGAACTCTCTTACCATCTTCTAACACGGTTGCTTTTCTCTCAGTAGTACTTGTCACGCGGCCAAAGCCAGCGACTGACTTGAATGCATTTTTTTTTCCAAGGATCGAATTTCCTGTCGCACTTTTTCCACTTCCCGTGCTACCAACTAAAACGATTGTTAAGTCCCCCGGAAAGATGTTAAAACTACCATTTGAGGCACCGGCCATTTTATCGATAACTTCTGATGCTGTAAGTTGATAATTTTTATAAGTAAGATAGGTGATTTGGTTCAGGTACGTGCATTTGTATCCAATGTGTACGGATGGATTTATACAACACGATGATGAGATTCAGAAGTATTGATTTTTCTCATGAATACTCCAAGAATTGCTAGTAAGTGAAGCAACGCATAACTTTCAGTGATTAGTTAATAAAGTTATATTACGTACGCGGTGTTCGAAATCATTGTTTCGACTAATCTGGATTCGAATCGGATAGATCCCTTTCGCAAGCCAAAATTCTCCCAATAAGTATTTTGGTCACTGCTATATGCCCGTGTCCGGGTTCAAAAATGGGTCATAGTTAAAGTGGTCTAATACCTTTACCACTTGGACCAAATGCTTGTTGGTGATTAGTTAATAAAGTTAAATGTTCCTCATGAATACTCCAAGAATTGCTAGTAAGTGAAGCAACGCATAACTTTCAGTAATTAGTGACTAGCGTTAAATGTTGCCGTGAAATGAATCAAAGAATTACCCACAACATAGAAAAAGGAGTTATTCTGAACGGATGAAATGGAAGATTAGAAAAGAATAATTATTCTATTTTTCTTGCAGCAAACAAACATTGATCCCCTCCTGGCTACAACTTTGAACTTAGCATATGATAGATAAAAAATTTTAACTTGACAATGATAGAAACAAACTCGAGGTCCCAATATGGAGGAACATTTTCTCAATCCCAATATGGAGTATCAACCGACGATTCTTGCAAGTCAATAGTCGAATTTGCAAAAACCATATTCGCCTAATTAACCATATTCGCCTGGGAAAAAAAAAAAAAAAGAGAGAAAGAAAATACCTCGTCCTTTTTTCTTCTTCTTCTTTCCTGCCGACAATTCCATCGCCACCCTTTACCCTTCACTTTTCTCTTTGCTTTCAAGCTTCGATATATTATCTCGCTAACCAAAATGAAAAAAGAAATTATCATCATTGAGTTTTGAGTGTACTAAAAATAATATAATTTGTAAAATTTAATGTGAACTAGTTTTTATTTTATTTTTCTCCACTTACTAATTTATCAGTTATTTATTAAAAACAAATTAAGGTTGGTCCATTTTTCATAGGGAAATATAATCCCACTCTTTGGGCCAAAATTTAAAAAAAAAATTACTTTGTACACATATACCAAAAAGTAATACTCTCTCATTTTCAAAAAATAGTTCACATTGAGTTTGAGTTTTGTATTGTAATAGTACAAAACTCAAAACTCATCGTGAATTACTTTATGAGACAAAAGGAGTGCTCACAAAAATTCATTTTGACCACTTTGTCCTACTATGACGATACTATTTCACACGCCCTAAAACATAATTCTGAATCCAGCATTGGACGCATGCCACCCATTTCAAGCAATAGGGGGGAATTACTTACAAGATCAAGTAGGTGAGCCGTGCAATCGCGTGCACAGATTTCTCCAAACTTTTATCTTTGTTCCTGTCCAATGAATTTAAATAGAGACTTAGTATAATCTTATACAAAATATACTAAAACAATAAAGTAACATGTACTTGTGCGATTTTTTAATATTATATAGCCATTAAAACATAATGAAATGATGTTACAAGTAATGTTGTCAAACCAGGACCGGAACAGAACCGGTAAAATTAAGGATTAACCGGGTCACTGCGTCATTGAATCAACCTCTTTAGCCTGGGATAAAAAACGGAAATCCCATTAGCCTGGGACAAAAAATCGAATGAGACCGGTATGATGTCATATGTAATTTTTATATTTAACATATATAAAATATATGAAATCTAAGTTATTAGTACAAAAAATATTAGTTTTTATGTTAAATTTTAACAAAACATAATAATTTAAAGATAAGATAAGACAAAATTATTTTAATTAATAATTTTAGTGTTATAATATTCAATTTAACTAATTTTAGGTAATCTACATAGTCTCTGGTATAATGATAAGTCTTAAGCACTGCCAACGTACTAGTTTGGTATTTAATAAAATAAAGAAGATCATTTACATAAGTATTTTACACTAATTTAATCTTTTTTACTTTTTTTGACCCTTTATAGTTGGGGGTTCTCAGGTTGACTATTTCATGCTCAAGTCAATAGGGGTATTTTTAGTAACTTTTAATTCTCATATTTTATAAAATACTAAAAACCCAAAAAATAATTCAAATAATATGAAACATATTATATTAATCTTATAATTTAAAAAATAAAAAATTTTAAAATTCAATTTTATTTTCCAAAACCTGAGTTATTATTACATTTATCCTATGGGACCAAAAAAATTACAGAGTAAGGGTAAAGAAGAAATCACACATGGGGCCCACAAGATAAAAAATAATAACTCAGGCTTGTATGGACAGCGTTTTATTTTTCATTTTTCGTGTAGATTTAGGAGGAGGTTTAAAATATGATTTCAGAGGAAATTTAAAAAGTTATGATAGTGGATGAAAATTATATTATCTTTTAAATAAGAATTTTGCCGGAATCCAGCCGGCTGGCGGCGGTAGAGGCTATTCTGGTTGGGGAAGGAGAGATAGTCGATGAAAATTGTGTAAAAATAATGTTTGAAATATCTTTTAAAAGATAAGTTAAAATTTTGTATGGATACTATTTTATTTTTCATTAGAATTTGCGTTTAAGAGGAAAAATGACACAAAAAGGTAAAATGGGAGGTTGGGCACACAAGGACTCAGATTTTGGAAAAACAAGAATTTGAATTTTGAGTTTTCATTATTTATTTTTTAATTATTAATTAAAAATTAATATAATATGTTTAATAATATTTTCATACATTTTTTGGTTTTTTAGTATTTTTGAAAATTTGAGAATTGAAATTTGCCAAAAATACCCGTGCTAACTTGACCAATATATGGTCAGCCGAAGAACCCCCAAATGTAAAGGGTCAAAAAAAGTTAAAAGGACAAAATTTGTTTAAAATATATATGTAAAGAACCAAACCAGCGAATTGTTAATGTAAATGATCGAAAAAAGTTTTTGGTCAAATGTAAAAGACCATTTGAGCAGTTTACCCCTATATAAGGATTCTTAGTCTCTGATAGATTAAAAACCTGCAATAGTTTTGATTGCCATTTTAGTATTTCAGGCGGCCCATTGAACAGGAAAAAAAAAAAAAAGAGGTCTGAGTCTAATAATGGAACTGCTTGACCATAGAGAAATTCTTCTAGAGTCATCTAATTATGGAAGTGTCACTTCAGATCTCATTCCATCTTCATTTTTATCTTGACAAGCATGTCGCCTACATTATCTTGTTTAAAAAGGTCTGACTCTTTAGTCGGTTAAAATATGTAATGGTATTGACTGCTATTTTGGTCTTTTTGATGGCCCGTTAAAAAACAAAAAAGAAAAAAAAAGAAGAGGAATCATTCCATATTCATTCTCATCTTTAACAACATGATTGTGGCTGGTATTTAAGTATTTTTGATAGTCCGCTAAAAAATAACTAAGAAGAGAAGAAAAATTGACAGGTCCCATTCCATCTTCATTTTTATCTTTTTTTTTTGATAACGCACGGAACCCCGTCAAAGATGGGTAAACCCACGCCTAGTGCAATAGCCTGCAAACCGCAGTGGGAGGTAAACCACTCTAGGCAAACCCGGGGTGACAAGTTCGCGTACAAAAGCGGGTGTTCGTGAGTGGGTTTGCCATAACAAGCCTTCGAGAGATGCCAATGGGTAAGGTTAAAGGCATCCCCTCACTCTTGTTGGAGTGGAGGTTTGAGCTCATGACCTCCTCTTGAGAGCAAGGGTGATTTTAGCACTAAACCAACACCTCATTCGCATTCATTTTTATCTTTAACAATATGTCACTTTATACAACGTTCTGCTATAAAGGTTGTAAATAGTTTCATAGGTTAGAAACTTGCAAAGGTGTTAGCTAATGGAGGCACCACCAATGGCCACATATCAAGAAAAAATCCATCAGACAATTCAATCAAATTCAATCTGTAATACATAAAAACAAGTAAATATAAAAAAGAAGAACAATAAGAAAGTAGTATTGGAATTTGAAAAGCCATCGTCACCACTAGTGTAATAAAATTACCTACTTAGCACTAACATAGCGGAAAATATGGTTGATCCCTCAGAGAAGGATAATGATGTGCTCATAATTTACCAATTTTTAATATCCCTTTATGTGAAATTTTGCCGATATTTTAAGTACAAATGTGCTATTTATATGATTTTATCTTTATTTGTAGGAATTGTACTCAATTGGAGGAATTGTTGAAATTTTGGGCTAAAATGAAGATAAAAGCAACTCAAAGGGGAGAATTGAAAATTTGATAAATTGAAAAGGATGAAATTAAAGTACTTGAAAAATTGGAGGATTAAACAAGAAATTTTGGAATTGTTAGTTTTTGGAAAATTGGCCGAAATTGGCTGATGGTGCGGTTGATTTGGGATTGGAATTGGGTAAGAATTTTAATCCCAATATTATTTGGAAAACAAGTTTTCTTACTCTCCAAGAAGTAGGGTTTTGACGGAAGCCTATAAAAGGAGGATTACGGATTTATTTTTACAAAAGGACTGGACCGAACTTGACCGAAACTCTCACAGCTAAAAAATTCTCCATCGCCGCTCCACCTCTTCTTCTCCTCCGCACAACCACCACCTTCAACCAACACCAGCTTCTCCTCCTTGTTTCCTTCACCCTCCACGCAGCACCATCACCATCACCTTCATCCATCATCATCAACGCCCCAAACCCTTCACTGACGGCAGCTTCCATCACCCCATCTCCACGCACCACCTTGCTCCTTGTTAACCTCCACCTTGTCTCCGCCCATCATCACCATGCATAATAACCTCTCCCTCACCACCGCAGCAACCAAGCATCACCGAAGCCTCCTTCATCTCTGTTCAAAGCCAGCAGCACCATAATCAACCTCTCACGCATCGTATTCTCCACCATCACACCGAATCACCCTCCCGTTCATCATCCACGCACGCA